GATGAAAAACAATAAGCTAAGCATTATAATTTGTTGTCAAGCAGGAAAAAATATGTGCAGCAAAAGAAAAAGATGTACTATCAACAAATCAGCTTAATTATAAATAAATAAGGTTTTCAAACGTGCATTTAATTTTATGGCAATAACTTAAAATAATTAATTAACTATTTTTTCCTCTCCTTGTGAGAAAGCCTAATTATTTGATATTTTTCAACATATCGTACATGCATATATAATGGCCTCATTCATGTGATGTCCTCACCTTAAGCTTCTGCATGAAATATAAAGAAAAAGAGTGACCCAAGTAATCTCTGTAGAGCATTTTCATCAAGAAAATCTATGTATATGTAAGATAAAATTATACGAATCAGAATTATAATATAACTATAAACATTAATTCTTCCTCTCTATTCTAAAATCGTAATAACTTCTCTGCATTGCATCATTTCTAGATCACTCTATGGCTCGCGCAGCTCTGATGACGTAATAATTGAGAAAATTATTTGCACTTCCGCTTTTTCAACAGCTAAAAAATTATTACATTCGTGTTAATCTAGGTCAGAAACTAAATTATTTAATGTGCTGCGGATTCTATAGTTTTCATTTCAACTTTGGTTAAAATTTCTGCAATTTGTTTTGAGAAAATCTGAAATTCTTGGTAATTAATTTTTCTAATTTTTCATAATTATGTGTGAGCAAATTAAGTAACAAATTTTAAGCTATTTAAATTATTCATAGGGAAGGATATTAAGATAAGTTTTTATGTTTTTGTAATTTTGTTGAGAATTTTGAATACGAAATTTATAATTATTCTAAAAATGAAGTAGGTATATAAAAAATAAGTGAAATTATTAGAGATACGTAATATGAAATTATGGTACATGCATGTATGCATGCTAAAATTTATGGGATGATTGTATGTTAAATATAGATGTTAATGTTAAATATATGATGGGAGTCTACTGGGGTTCCTGAAAGCAGAGGCCTTGTAATTACTCTGTACAGTTCTTCCTTTTCACCCTCTTCAAGTGTAAGATAATGTTGGATGGCTCTCAATTTTATGAGTGTGTGTAATTTTTTTATATTATTATTATTATTATATTTTTTTATTATGGAATGTAGTAGTGCAGTTCTCAAAGGCCAGTTACCTTAATGAAAGGAACGGAGGCCTTTTCAAGTAACTGCCTAGGCACTCTGGGCCACCAGTGCAGAGAACACACTGGTTAGCTCAAGAGGACAGCCCTATTGATGAATATGTTTGTTTAGAAGTATATTCTAAAATCGCAATAACTTCTCTGCATTGCGTTATTTCTAGATCACTCTATGGCCCGCACAGCTCTGATGACATAATAATTGGGAACTAAAACTGCCTCTGTAAAACAAAACTTTTCTCTTCGCCATGCTTCCATCCTTCATAACTACGCACTTCAGCTTTTGCTCTCTACTGTGCTAAGATGTAATTTCGCTGGCTTGCTTTCTATCTCAACAATATCAAAAATGTAAATCTTCTGTGGAAAGGCACGACTAGAGTGCCAAGTGATTGTGGCCATAAATATCAGTTGCAAATAAAAATGGAATTAAAACTGCCTCGACTGACAAGTTCTTTAGATATTACCAAGTTAGCATTACTAGCATACTACACAATCAAAATCTTCTTCAATATGGGTCTAATCACGCATCTACAGTGTTTCGTCTTTTCCTTTGCTTTTATTATGACATATATTTATGGACAGGAAAAAGGATGAATGGATTACCATCTTGCTATGAGCAAAATAAAATCTCTGGATATTATCAGCATGGGGAACTATATTTTAGTTAACATTCAAAAAGGGTTTTAAATAATAATAATAAATCAAATACAATGGATGGAAATGAAGATGATCTACATGGGGGAAAAATTGCTGATCAATGTAGCAAAAAATTCAATTTATTAGAATCAGGAGAGAAAGGGGAAAACAAAAAGCTGTTATGCATGTAAGAAAAATAAAGAATATGTAAAAGATTAAATTAGCAGCAAAAATTAATTTTAGAGAAAACTCTAACCCATTTTGCATTGCATTGAGAATCTGGATGCATACATGCACTTTTACAACACTATTAAACTGCAGAATCTGTTTTAATTAATGTGTTTGAGCCCTTTCATGCATGTGGTTTAAAACAAAGCTACAAGAATTTTGAATATGTTGTATAAAGTATTAAACTGACAAAACATTTATTTACTTTTTTTTCATATGTTTTGTTCTTCAAGGATTACCTGAGGTTTTTCTATGGGAAAATAAATGCAAATAATGGAAATTTTGTAAACCTAAACCAAATGTCAAGAGAATTAGAGAAGAAAATGGGAAACCTTTCTGAAAATAAATAATATTAGTGCAGTTAAAAAATAATGAAATATATAAAACATATACATTCAATTTATGGTACAAGTCACTTTTTTTACAGAGATTATATCAAATGTTTTTTTCTTTCAGAAAAATAATTTTATTCTTTATAAATATAAAAAATAGGTAATATTAATAAAAATAAAGCAAACCAAATTTATAAAGAAAAAAAAAGTCTCAGATTAATAATAAGAAATAACATGCAAATACAATCTATTACAAGGGGCTCTTAAATATATTATAAAAAATAGATGCATTCATGGAAGAGAATTTAGCATATTCACATAAGCTTGAAGTTACATTTATCAGAACATTTTGGTCACAAATGAACAAATTTCTATTTTATTAGCATAATTTATCATTAAATCTTTGTTAACTTCTTCAATAAATTAATATTTTCTAAAATATGCCAAAATGCATGTAATTTGAAATTTTCCATATACTTTAAATTCAGTTTCCTTAATTTAAAAAAATTTAAGAATATCAGATCTATGTAACAGACTCTTATGGAAAGCTTTCATTTTGATAATATGTGCTGCAACATATATCACCAAAATGCAAATAGTTGAATGTGCTATGTGCAGGATTCTAATTCAAGTGTTTGCATTTTGGTGGTCCTAATCAAAACTGCCTTACTTTGGATATTCCTTAATGACAAGATTGGTGATAGGATAAAGAAAAAATCAATATCTTCCTCATTCAGATTAAAAAGAAAATAATTGATAATACATTTTGAAGTTTCTAAAGAATTCTGGTACTCAAATCTCAGTAGAATAAAAAATTTTTTTTTGCAAATGTAGTGCAAAAGACATATTAATACTCAGATGGAAATTTATATCTTGAAAATTTAAATGAAATATTTCTAATGTTAATTTACTTTGAGAAATACTTCGAACAAAATGTATCATAAGGTAAAACAAAATAGACATACATTTAAAAAGACACTATTTTCACTAGCATTCACTTTTTTAAAAAAGATATATAGTAGAATTCCAATTATCAGGAATAACCGAGACCTCTGTTAATTCAGAAACTACTAAACAGTAAAATTTACTTCTCTTTCCCCTCTACAGTAAAGTATTTTTTGCACTCATTTAGAACCTAGTTAGCGAACTTTAATATCAAAGTACAGGACAAAGTCTGAAATCCAGACATCCATTATCTGGAATGATCTAAAATATGGACCTCAAAGCTGAAAACATTTTTTTATTAATGCTTTATGCATGCACATTTGATTTTTCTTTCCATATAATAAAACGTGGAGATTTTCACAAAAAATTCTGATTCTTAATTTCACTTAGGCACTAAATAAAATACCTCACTATGGAAAAACAATTACATAAGCATAAATTTGTGAGATTAATAATTTGGCTCCGTAGCTGAGTATTTACTTGGCATATGTCTCAAACCGAAACATTCACCTATTTTATATCCCTGACGCCGACCTGTAGAGTCATTATTTATTATATTTTGCTTTCATTACCGCATGTTTATCAATACATGACAGCTTTAGTAATAACTCATGCCGTGATGTCTAAACTTTTTTATATTAGTAATTGAATAACAAGAGTATGGCAACCTTTTATGCTAATATTACACTTGGCGATGATTATAGATTATTAAATGTGCTAAGAAATGTTGATGAGAAAAAATTCAACAAAAACTTCTTTTCATATGCTAAAAATACATCTTGTTAATGAAACACATAGGCCAAAAGATTACATTTAGTGCTATTTTAATTAAGAATAACTGATATGTTATTCACCATAAACCCAGAAGCGGCGGCAGAATATGTCGGCACCGGACGGCAGAATTTAGAGAAGACGAAATTTTTGGAATTTGGGGAAGCACCAAGCGGCAAAATTAAGGGATGAGAAGTTTTTATGATTTAGGGAAAGCACTGGGATCCAAAGTTTAGACAGGGTGAAAATTTAGAACTTAGGAAAGCACTTTGTAGCAGAATTTAGGACCCGTAGAGACTGCACCAGGCGGTATCGAGCGCAAGCCCTAGATAAAGCCTTAAGTATATGTGGAAGTTTATTTATTCAGGACTCTGATTAGTTTGAAGCATGTGCAAGAAATAAACGTAGGTATAGTAAATAACTAAACTAATTAACTAACTAAACTCGTCGCCAATTTTGTGATACACAGCCAAGAATGTATAACGGACGCTATTAAGCTAGGCTAAAATTATCTTTACTGATTCTAAGGCATTTGAATTAATGTAGCAGATTGCGCTGCTCCCTGATGTTCTAATTTGATCCAGCTTATTATTTTTTGCAGATTGTTATTATTACGGCAATTTTATAAAAACTAAGCTTGAACTTTCGGTTATGTTAAAAAGAGTTTCCAATTCTGAAGTTGCCATAGGATCTACAAAGCGAAACCATGTTTCGATGTCCATTAAACAAAAAGTAATATTGCTGCAAAAAATGGATACAGGCATATCCACCTCAAAATTATGAGAGTTATGGCATTGGAAAGTTCACTGTATATGACACAAGAAAAAAGAACTTTTTGTGCGAGCATCTTAAACAACTTACATTGAAAGAAATGTTTAATAAAATAAACAAATAAATACTAAGCTTTTTTTTTTTTTTTTTTTTTTGTAAATTTTGATACTCTTTAGATCATAATTGTTGTTTATTTCATAAATTATGATTTCATATTTTTAATTGTATAATTTCTGCATGCCATCTTACCAGATTTAAATTGATGATCTATTATCCGGAAAAATCCCAAATACGGAATAGCCCAAGTCCCAACCAGTCCAGATTTCAGACTTTGTACTGTATTATTATTGAATTATCAATGCAACATTTCTGCACATTGCTTTCAGTGATGATGTTCTTAAAATGCAGTTCTAGTTGTAATTTATAGAAAGATACACATTTTATTATACAGTCATTTTATGTTACTCAAAGCAATGGAAAAATTGCGAACATATATACAAATTAATGATAAACATAATTTTACTACACCAAGAAACCAGAAGAAGCAATCCATACAGCTGAAGCTTGAGTTAACTAGGGTGCTACTGTATAAATAAATTTCCACTTTCTTAAAAATGAATGTATAAAATATTTCTATCACTTTGCCACATATCCCTGAAATTGACAGAACCATGACAATTTAATAATTATTAATCAGCCACAATTCATTTTGTGAGCTTTTAATGAAGGTACACTTCGAAAAGAACGATTACATATTTCACATACATAAGACCTTCCTAATGAATGCACCAGTATTAAATGAGTTCGAAGATTATCCTTTCGATTGAAACTTCTGCTGCACAAGTTGCATGTAAATGGACGTTCTCCAGTATGAATAATAACATGCCTTTTAAAATGACTTGAATCAAGTGTAGTGTAAGTGCAATCTGAACAATGATATCCACGCAATCTTTTTACACCATACACCAATCCTATAAATGAGAACTAAAATGATTATGTGCATACAGTATTGTTGTAAAAATAAGGAAAACACAAGTGGAGACTATAAATATGGAAGGGAACATTATAAGATTAATACTGACCAGCTGATGCATCTATAGAATTATCACTGATATGGAATGAATCTGGTGTTCCACTTCTGCTGTTAAAATATGCATCATCTGAAAAATAAGAATTTATCTATTAATAACACAAATACAATTTTTTTCAGCTATAAATTTAAAAGAAATGTATAGTAAACATCAACATGTATTTTCTTTATTTTATAGCATAAACAATATAACATACTAAATTATTTAGCAGTATTTAGAAAAACAAAAACACATATTCTAAAATCAAATAAAATCAAGACTAAAATTAAACAAGAACCAAGAGGAAAAGGGCATATAATGGCAATATGGAAATTTTATGTTATTTTAAAACTAAAAATTAAGTAAAACAATCATTGTAATGTTTTATTAAATTCTTGAATAAGTACATATTTTTAGATAAATAGAAAATGAGATATTTTAAATCTATGAAAGAATTTAATGTCTGTAATTTCTTTCCAATTTGAAAATGACAATTTTATTCTTAGAATGATAGTCAAGGATTCAAGTAAGTAAAATAAACTATTTCTATAGCTAATTGTTAAATTACACTTAGTATCATATTACCATTTAGCTTTTAAATTTGCATTGAAGAATTCTTTGCACATTAAATAAAACTATATTTTATCACAATTTTGTATTAACATTTATCAAAATTTTAATATTAACCATCTGAGTGGCTCGCATTTTTGGATCTGTCATGAAGACCTGTATTTAAAAAGCCTTTATTAGCTAAATTTGTATATTTACTTACTTTAGACTCTATTTTCATAAGCTTATATTTATATTATTAAAGAAAGTAAGAAAGTAAAATAGCATTAATTATAAGCTAATATATACCACGTGACAAAAAAATCTCATGACCAGATAAAGCTGGCGATGGCTCTCAGTGTAAAAAAAAAAAAAAAAATAAATAAATAAAAAAAAAAAAAAAATTTAATTTGATGTGCTCCATTTAATTCTTCTAAACAGTAATAATTTTCTCAATTTAATGCTTAATGCAAACCTGTTATACTTTTTTAAAATAGGCTTTAGATCTTTCAAAATGCATGCACACTTTATAAGCAAACCAGCCATTAAATAATCAAAAATATATTTTTCTTAAAAATATTAATAATCAATCTGAATGAAACTTTCCCACTGCAATAAATTTGATTATACTTAATATATAGAGATATTTTTTGCAAGTATGCTTATATTTAAGAAACCTAATAAAGAAAAACCAGTTAAAGAAAATTATTAGTAATAAATAAAACAAAGATTTATATGCAATTTCATAGAAGCAGTAAAAAGATTAAATTCTCCAAATCTTTACGTTTGAATCTGCAGATACTAGGATGAGCAGTACTTCACACATTAAATACTACTAAACGTAATCCTTTTTCACATCAGCTCTTAATTGGTAAATAAAAGTGTTGAAACTGTCTTTCAAATAAATCAGCAGAAAACTACTTTTATTGTTTGATAACAGTACATTTCTAATGACATATTAAAATAAAAACATTTTAGAAGTATAACTGAAAAGTTTATAGCTAAAACACAAATTATTCATAAACAGAGAGCCAAATTAATTTTGTTCACAGAACATCACAGATATTACATTGACATAAAGCAATTAAATAAATAAGCAACAATGAAAATACTGATATAACAGGTGTTACCACTTTGATATGTTTTGCTTAATATGTATATTAATACTTTTAGATATATTATAATCCTTACAGTTTTCAACAGTATACTAATAAAGAAAATTGTTTCTGGTAAAAATTAGTCAGATAATAATGATATTCTTCTGGTCACTTTATTTATTTTTTTGCAGCTGATAAATTATTTATACTTCATAAATGCAATTTTAGAATTTACAGCTAGATATATTTCTCATCTGAATAAAATCTCATAAAAGTTAACTATGCATAAATAATGTACAGTTTACATATTTCATAATGTCAGAATTTATTAAATAAGAGTTTAGAACATGAAAAAATGCCAAAATGCATAACACAGTCAACATTACTTTAATGGCTGGTTTTTTAGTATCTAGCAATAATATTCATTTTATTAAGTATGTAACTATAAATTTGTCATAATAAAAAGAAAACATTTCATGTTGTAATACAAAATATTAATGACTATGCTGTTGTGACTAATCTCATTTGTCTGACCTAATCAGCACAAGCCCACGATTTTTATTGTGGCGAGGAGTACAAGATAGCATCTGTCATTGGCAAAAGCCTCTGGTACCATATAGGTGAAAGTACGATTTTGCTCAGTTCCACACCAATTTTGAGGGGGTGTGGTATGAGGATCATCCAATCTCTTCCCCTACCTCCAGACCACATGAAAGGACTTTTGGCTTACCATGTATTTACAGTATCCTCATACTGCAAATACACTACACACTTACAACATCCATACCTTCTCTGGGATTCGAATGCAGGCCCTTTGGTACAGTAATCAGAGCTGCTAACAACTATTCCAATGGCTGGCATATATTAGTCACTAAAACAATTTATACCATTGGTAAAATCAAGTATTTGAGATCTAGTTTAATTTTCCACTTTAAAACATTTGCAAAGGTATCAATTTTTCTTTTCTCCAAAAGATTTTTCAAAATATATTTAGTTACATGCATTTCTGCTTAGTAAACTATACTATTAATTTTTTTCACAACAGAACTCTCAGAAATAATTTTAATTAGATTGACTGTATATAAAATTTTTTAAATCTTTGATCACATTACTGAATGTAATCACCCCACCAATGGCGAAGTGGTTAATAGATTGGGAGTTTGAACCAGGTCTGATCCCAGGCAAATGAGCTGGCTGTATGATTGGTTCTCATGGTTTTCTCCATGTACAACATGAATATGAATTTAGAAAGTCCTACTATGATTTATAAAGTAATACCTCTCTTTAGGTAGACAGCCATCATATGCTTTGCCATACTTCAATAATTTACCAACTGAACATTAGATTTTTAACATTAGTTCTAACTTTGAAAATAGCTTACACTGTATCCTTTTTTGTTTACAGAATAATCCCTATAAGATTCAAATTTTGACTTTTATTATTTTCCAAAAACAAAGTTTATGATTTTTTCAACACTTAACCAAAATTTAATTTATTATTATTCAGTTATAATTTTATTCAGTATTTTCATGAATGAAAAATCAGTGTTAATAGAGTCGCCATCAATAACTTTCATATAGTACATGGATATATTATATGTCCAGGAATTACAAAAGGAAAGAGTGGTCAAATTATATATATACACATGTACCACAACTTAAAATTTAAATATTACATTCAAAATTATAACAAACAAGTAAAAAAAAAAAAAAAAAAAAAAAAAAAACGAAAAATGTTTTAAGATATCTTCTAATAATTCACAATGAGTTATAAATGACAAATATATCACATATGATACAGTAAGATATAAACAGCTTATTACATGAGACATCTGGCCTTTTGAATCACATCTAAGAAAAAAGTTTATTTAACAGATTTAGTTAAAAAAAAAAAAATTAAAAACAGCTAAACAATAAAATAAAAGTTATCAAGTAACTACAAAGGCACAAATACACTGTAACCTCTAATGACCATCTCTGCAAAAAGATCAATTTGGATGGTCACCTAAGAGAAATTTGACTGATACATATGTCTAAACATATATCAACATTCATTCTTTAACATTTTCAAACAGAATAAAAACAAGGCACAATGCTAAATAATAATAATAAAAAAAGATATTAGGAAAGGTAAAATATTATGAATAAGTGTTTGAACTAGGTAAAATTGGCTAGAAATACAATACTTCCAAAACAGTAGACAATAACAAAATGTATATTGCTTGAAGTAAAACAAAAAGAAATACCGAATTACATTCCAGATTATCATTAGGAATTTAGAAATTTTTTCCATTGCAAAACCTAAATTTTAAATTAACATAATTTAACTATGAAATTAAGAGAACAAAAAGCTAAATATAGACAGACAAAAATATACATAAATTAATTAAAAATATCTTATACAAATAACACATTCCTAAGGAATATTAAACTTTAACATAGAAATCTTCTCTGTCCATTCAACACTAATGTCAAACATGCTGATGTATAGTATTTAGCTAATTGAAGAAATTAAAAGGAATTAAAATTGCTATATTTCAGCTACATATGGTCATTACAAATACATAAAAAAAAGCAATAAGAATTACAATAATACAATAAAATATAAAGGCTGCAATAATGATTAATAATTTTAAGATTTCTATATTTTTCATTTAGCAGGTCAGGTATTATATAAAAAAAGTTTTTGATATTACTCTCACAATTAAAGGGGGCAGGTAGTTCTACTATAAATTTTCAGGATCTGGCTTAAAAGGAAATATTTTATACTTTGCTCTAATATTTCTTTATTAACATTTAAAAATGTCACAGAATTTATTAGTAATTATACTCTCAAAAGAAGAAAAGAGTTTTTAAAAATGTATCTTTTATACTTCCAGACAATTTTTAAAGAATTTATTCCATTAGTAATCATATTTGTTAAAAAAATTTCTTTGAGAAGGTATAGATTTTTTAATGCACTTTTTTATACATGGTTTATTTTTAGTATGCCAAAGTAGTGAGTGCACAAGGACACCAATTAGTCCTGAATCCCTTAATATAGTGACTTTTTTAGTAGGTCATAAAATGTTTCAAAATATTCATATATATATTTATACAGAAGTTAATTGTACAAATATTTATATGCAATTAAAAATTAATTTATAGTTACCAATAGCAATAAGAATTACATATCTAATTCTGTTTTCCCCCAAACCTATTTACACAAATTCAAAATAAACATTTTATTGTCCGATTGTCAAACTGATTTAATATGATAGATGTCATACTGATTTAACACGGGGCAAGCCAAATTATTAGAATTTTCTAAGAATCCACAATACGTAAAAAGCAAAAATTCCATCATCCCTAATACGACTGAATTTCCAAGTATCATTACAATGGCACAGACAACTGACAGAGAAGGATTTGGTGATCCGCCTTTTGAAGATCTTGATGAATTGTT